TGACAATAGACAACCAGCAACAGTCCACCGTCGATCGTAGCAAAGATCATTCGTAATTTAGTCCCGACTTATAACTCATCCGGGATAGCATTTTGATTTTATGATTAATTAAATCTCAGACTCTTCACGGGCATGTGTTATTTATATGTGATGGATCTGATAGGAAACAAGACAACGCGTGAGAAGACATTTTAAGCTCAGGTGAAATTGACAACTGTACAAAGTCCGTCTCTTTGCGCTAGCGAGATGACAATAATTGGTAAAAGAGACGGGTCCTAGTGAATTGAACTCCAGACAATCACGTCCACTCTGACTCGACTTGATTACACTCGATAATAAATTTCAATCAAAGTTTGATTTTTTTGACACAAGTTAGCTGACTTCGATTTCGTTATACAATTTTTGACAAAACGAACTGGTTTGAACTCGTTGGTTTGAGAAGGGTTCGATGACGAACATACTGGTTCAAAGCTGTCACTCTACACTATCATCAAACCAAATCATTTACCATTTATTTACAGCACAGTACAGGTTTGATGGAAAATTTGAAAAACAAACATTGCATTTATGTCCATATCGACGACTCTTCTGGTTTTTAAGAACAAAGGAAAAGCATAGAGACTTTATTCAGAGATGTCATCACATGTTTTTCACACTTTACATCTCCATGTTATTCACCTTTTTGTGTCATGCATCATAAATAGATGCATTTGATCCAAATTCCCAATATTTAATGTTCATCTGTAGATTAAGAAATTTGAAGTTTCCAAGAAGTCTCGCAAGTGCTTGAATTTTTCAGAGGCCAAATCACTTCTCAACTGGCTCCGAACAAAAAACGAACACACAGCTAGTTGCCCATTGACAAAATGACATTTTATGTTTTGGAGGTCATGGAGGCTTGGTGAGTAGAGAAACTGTGATCAGACACAATGCACTTGTCTTACTTTCATGCTAAAAAAAAAAAATAATAAAAACAGATAAAAGATAATTTTATTATCACGACTTTCAGAAGCGTTAAGCCGATAATAATTAATAAAACCATCAAAATTGAAATTTGAAACTTTTTGCTAAAACATTTACCTCCTTTTCTTTAATAAATTCGAGCAGTTTCGTAAAGCCAGCGTGGCGATCTTTTCCTAGAGGGCATAGGTACAAAAGAAAACAAAAATACTAGGAAAACTTCTATGTCTGACTGCTTTTTCTGTTAAGTTATACACCTGATAAACACTCGCTATACTCCGCTATAGCTTTGTATAACAAGATAAATCACACTCATTTGGATTAGTTTTTACTAATGTTCAATTTAAGGACAGACTCCTCGTTGGCATCCCGATAATCAATATTTAAGCAAATAAATATTGCCGTGGGTCTCTCCAGTAGTAACTCACAGTGTCACACCAGGCTGTGCTTTGTGTGGCACGTTGTTGTTCTTACAACTTTTCTCTCATCCACGAAGATGTGGAATTGCTGTTATTGGCACCGACCATCTACAAATTTATTTCCTCTCTTCCCAAGATATGCAAATTATAACGTCTGATAACATCTGCATCGGAGGCATAGATCAGTCAAAAACGTTTCTGGAAAAAGATTGGAGCCATTTTTCACGAAGGCGGGACTAAGGAAGTAATCATCTTAAATCCCCAATTTTCTCGCCAAATAAATCCCAAATTATAAAGATTTCGTTATTTTCACTGACCCGATGATGTATTTCAAATTTTTAATCTAAGATGGCCTGCGATGGTTATTTTACAAGTTTCATCATAGTTTAGATTCAAACGTGATTCTGGAGACTTCACCTGATTCAGGGTAGTATTTAAATGCAAACAGAACATGACAAATGCTGATCACAAAATAGAATGATAAAAGTCTCTTCCTTATAAAAAATTAAGGTAAAACATTTCCCTAAAATTTCCATTTTAGATGGATAACGCTTTGTAAACAAGAAATGAGGAAACCTAAAGTAAATGAATATTTTGTAAAGTCCAAGGCCAAAACACATATTGACAATGATTGTTGATCATTGGATTATATCTACCGCCTACAGTCTGGGTGAACGTGTCTGACATATAGAAACCTCTGCTGCCCTAAATGGAAACCAGGACAGATAGTTTATGATGACCAAATTGTTATTTTTAAGTGATGGTGCAGTACACTATGGCGCATGAAATCTAGATCTAAACATAACAGTAAACTAGAAGAACACCGCTCTTCTGACGTTACGTTATTATCTCAAGTGCATCCATAACTCGATATAAGCACAGCTAAAAGCTTGAGTATATTTTTTTTATAGCAAACAGAGCGACAACAAGGATCTGCGCGAAGAAGCCTTTTATTGTGATAGAGTGCAATTGTGATTGTTTTGGTTTTAGTAAATTCCCAATTAACAACTGTGTACTTTATTCCCCAGGTTGAACAAATTTAAAAACAACAATAAAAGCGGAAATTTTACCTTTAAAGTTATTAATGACCAATTGGTGACTTTCTTTGTTCCCAGTGAATGTCTTTCGGTCAAAATTTGCTGCTGCTGGTCTTCCGACAAATTTGCGAAACGTGCATCTTGCGAGTTTTTTTCGGCTTTGTTTTTGTTGCTTGTTGGATGAGGACCTAAAAGGTCAATGCCAATAGAAAAATTGGGCAGTTCTTCGCTGGTTTCTTCCTTATTTCAAAGTGAAGGAAAACTGCACTGCAGCTTAGCAGGAGGGAAAATCTGAAGCCAAAAAAACGCTCACGTCATCTTATTTACGTACGGGCATGCGTAAATAAAGATTTTGTTCATAGTAGCTCAATAGGACTTATATAGGGCAAGCACGCACGCTATGTTATAATAAAGCGTTTTCAAATGTGACTGATTCCTCGCGGTTTTCTCATTAAAGGTGAATACTGACGCAGTTGCTTCGCTTGTCTCTCGATCTGTGGACGTTTCGACAAATTTGTATGATAAACGTCCTAACTATCTTTCTCAGAATACTTACTTAGGGACAGAATTGACCTTAACGAAAAAATATCGATCACCGTCGTAAGCAGGATGTTTCAAATTGTCAGATTCATCAAAAATTGGTCCATACTTAGCGTGCGTAAATCGAGGTATGAATGTACGCGGGAAGTTTGGGAAGCACGAGATACCTCTTACTAACCGAGTTCGAGGGCCGCTCTGCATGTTACGGACCGAGTTTTTTTCGCTCGGATTTATGGCCCAAGCACAAAGCGCGCAGGGACCATAAATCGAGCAGAAAAACCAGGTTAGTACTTACAGTTAGTACTTATGTTATAAACCAACAAAATTTCTGAGGTATCTCCATCTTGCATGGAAAGGAGACGTGAGATGGACGAAATCCGTACAGAGTGGTTAATGACTCTTCCACGTATTACCGAATTTTTGGCGGCCTTGGAATTAAATTTACCAAGTGACTCTTTCCTAAAGGACTTCTTATGTACCAAACATCATCACCTGGTTTTTGCTGGTGTTTACTGCAACGAAAAACAGTTTATTTCGAGAACATTGACAATACTCTGACTCAGTTTGGGCGGTTTATGTTACTGATAAACCACCACAATGTATGCAAAAACGTGTATTTCACGCCACTCAATCAAACATTACTAAAAGGAGAAATTGATCCATCGAGACGTGCCGTATCTGTATAACATAAATATAACTACGCAAATTATGTATCGGAGATGATCCGGCATTAGAGCGAAATGACCCACTTTTCGCTATAAAACTTTATCGTGAAGGATCATGCAGCGGGATTCTGAATTGAATGACCTTATAATGGTGTTATTTACTTTATCAATACGGTACTTTATTATGCATTTCCACAACGTTCGCAGTGTTTCAGGATTTCTAGACAATCTATTTCCCTTTGAATAGGCCATTTTACGGTTGTGTACTTAGTTGCCAAGCCTTTGATTTGGAGTGAGGCTTGTTAACCTTGTTAACACTCCACCATCGTTTGATTAATATGTGCACGCTTTTTTTTTTACAGCTGAATCTCTATCACAGTAACTTTGCGTTTCCTGTTATGCCAAAAATAAAATCAAAAACACAAAGTCAAAAGAACAGAATAGGTAACAAAGGCTAGGAAATCAACTGAAACAAATTTTTGTTTGGGATTCCTCGGTACTTCAGTGTTTCCCTTAAGTAAGAAAAATATTACAACCATGCATTATTGCATGCAGAGATTTTCTATACATTTCTCGCGATGAATAATAAAATATAGTAGCGTAAAATATGTTTGCATCTCTCCTTTTTGCTTGAAAACTTTCTTCATTTTTATTTCGACTTTGGCAACAGTCTTGTAGATGGGTATTTGAGTAACTTCTTTAGTTGTCCATTGTATAACCTTCTGTAAAGATGCAATGACAAGGAAAACTAGCTTTTGAGAAAACCCACACAATCAGGAGACACCAAGACTCTTAGTTCTCTTCTTCTTTATTACATTTTCTGTAGCTAATCAAATCGTATCTCTCTTTTACTCACTGTAGTGCACGCTCTAAAGTACCTTATTAGTGAACATGTGGGTAATGCGCTGACTGTCTTTGCAGAGTCTAACCCCTTGTTCAAAATTCTGACGCGGTCAAGTGTATTTTTTATACAAGTTCAATAAACACATCCAAACATGACCACCGACGAACGTCTTTGTTCAAGAAACAAGCCTCAAAAATAGAATCAGCACAAACTATTGTTAATATTAAAATTAGAAAAAGATCTTACGGGCCTCTGAAGTTGATAAGACTCGCACAAAGACTATACAATAATCAGCTAAAACGTTTACAAGTGAAATTTAGAAAACTAAAAATAAAGTAGTCAACACGACCAGTTTAGAGACAAAAATTCAAGTTCGAGTAATTGCACAACCAGAGGAGAAAGACAACAGTGAAACCTATCGTAAGGGGGTAAGACTGGAACAATCTTTGAATGCTAACCTTAAAAAACCTTGAATCGTAAGAACACTTCACAACACTCTCTTTTTCCATAGAGACCTTTTCAAAGGGAGGTCGCATCCAAAATCTCCCTGTATTTACTTATCACTACTCAACAATTTAGTCTACAAGAGCAGCTTTCAGAACATAGCAATCCGGCGACAACTAAGAAGGCAATGACGTTCTGTGTACCGCAAAGAAATTAACTAAACCGGTACCTTTGGCTAGTGTGTTTGAGGCTCTAAAATGCACGACTAAATGAGAAATAAAACCTATATTTTTATCTCCAAAATCACACTTAAGTAGAGCTAAAAGCCTTGATGACTACTTCAGCAAGAAACAACAACAAGCTCATACTAGAAAAACCAAATATACCTTTGTTCCAGAGGTACATCAGCGAAGGTTTGCGGACACATTTACTGGTTATATTGTTGCTGCCATCCTCGGAAAAGTAATATTCCCAAATCTCCTTCCAAAACAGCTAATTATAAACTGAAATAGTTTGTTAAATTATTATCGCGAAAACGTTATGCAAATACACTTAATTAATGCTACCCGCAGCACTGAAGAAACATGTCAGTGTTTCCTTTTTGACCAATACCCCTATGGGGGTTTCATGACCATTTCAATCAAATTGGAAAACAGACGTTGTAAACAATCATGTAGTGTTTAAAAATCCCAACCAGTAGGGGGCACACCAGTTGGCTGTATACAAAGCGAGTCAAAGAATCGACCCGAGGGAAAAACGAAACAAATCTAGCGAGTAATAAGGTAGAGGGCTTTCACCCGTGACCACTAGATCACTAGTTCAGCACCCTCACCACACTGCCTCAAACATTGAAGAAGCAATGCTAGTATACTTCTTCCTATAGTTCACTCTGCAACGGATCCCCCCTTTTATTCTTACCAGCCGATAGAACGGTTATTGTCGAAATTAGTTGCAATTATCAATTTCTAATGAAATTACTCGGTTTACTACTGACAGTAACTTTTATGAAACCGCATATAGGTGTTTGTATTATATTATATAATTAGTGATACGCAAATCCGTTTTAAGCGAGTTTCTATCTTACAGTTACCAAATTGGTAATTATATTCTTGATTCATTCTGGTTTCCTTCATCTTCAGGTGGTAAGACGGCATCTGATGTTTTGATGGCGAGACTTGAAGGCAACCGGCTGCTTTTTCTACTGACGATCCTGGTAAATGCCGTATTTATCTTGGTGCTCAGAAAAATGTACAGCCATGGGTTAACGGCACTGTTGGCGTGTCCAAACCAAAAACACACAAAGCTGACAATCGCCTGTATATGTGATCGGGCCTTAGATGCGTGAATGATATGCATCATGTGAACCACTTGTGGTGGGAGCCAACAAAGGGCAAAGGCACAGGTAACAATAATGAGCATCCGAACCACTCTTTTCTTGGAGGTTTCTAGTTGCGCTCGATTTCCTCTAAAAGTATTCACTCCAGGTGCAACATGGAACCATAAATTCCATGCAGTGATGGTATACAGGAAAGAAATAACGATCAAGGGGATGAGATAGTTGACGACGAAAAGGAGGAGGTATATTCCTCGAAGAGCCCTATCTGGATCACCCAAGATGTAAACAGATAGCATGCAATAGGAAGAATTATTGTAGTCCTCCACGGTTTGAATAACAAGGAAAATGGACATGGAGACCAGTGATCCGATCCAAATAAATGGAACGGTTAGTTTAGGCTTTCGAAACCAAAGATGGCGGCGGAGGGGATGAACGATGGCATAGTACCTGTCGATCGCCATGAAAGTCAGGCAGAGGATGGATGCTGTTAAAGTGACATAGGCAATGTATACAACACCTTTGCACATGACCTTTCCAAATACTCCCGGGATCATCCACAAACCATCTGTATATATTACGGAAATCGACCAGGGCATCACTACCAAGGTTACAAGCAAATCAGCGATGGCCATGTTGACGAACATAAAGCTTGTCAGTGATCTGACTTCAGGCTTCTTCCACACGATGTAGATGAGGAAACTATTCCCTGCAAACGCTACGAGCATCGTGATGGCGTAGAGGACTGTGATGATCCATTCGGTTTCTGGTTTCATCTTTAGTTCCTGTTTTTCTGTTGCTAAAGTTGAATAAGATAAAACTGTTATTACTGAATAAATAATCAGTGAATGGAACAACCATGGCCTCCTAAAATCTTATTCGATACCAACCTGGGGTGTGGTGAGAGGAATCGATTGTGAATTCAAAGGAAAAAAATTTTTTTTTAATTTCTTTTTTATTTTAAACTAAGTTCACTTTGGTTGAGTCCATGATATTTCGGGACGTCACTGAAGCTGTGAACAGGAACGGAAATACTGGAAACAGGAAAAGGAATGCAGCAGGGCATTTTAATTTTCTCCTTGAATAACCCTAGTGAAAAAATCTTAGTATTGAAGTGATGGTTAAGCATTTCTTCATAGAAGTATTAAGTATTCCCATTCTTAAAATATATAAATACTGGTCTTTGTTGTTGGTTTGCTTTTATGTCGAAAGCGTTTCTTATTTGTCATCTTCTCATTTGTTTTCCGTCCCGATGGATACAGATAACTTTCAGAAATAGTTTTTCTTATTAGTATTTTCAAATTTTCCAAACGGTTCCTACATTTGTTCGTATAATACCAATAACGAAAATTATCAGAAACAAACGATAATAATAACATAATATTCGTTATAACTAACCTTTTATTCTCAGTTCAATATCCGGTAGAATAAAAAATAACACCAAAGATAATGTATGACATCTTATTGAAGACACTGTTGGCGCATGTATATAACTATTTTTGATGGATTGTAACGTTATTAGTATTAGTTTGAAAACAGGAAATCAATCTGCCTATATATTCGCCTTACAAAGTCAACTTCTTTCCCTCCAAGTTATTATGAGTTAAGAAGCGTTGAACGTCTCATGGCAATTCAACGTACCTGCGATAGAATGCACTGAAGTCCGCTGTCAGCAAATAGACTTGTAGCTTCTTAGTACTAAAGGAAGATTAAAAAAAGGAAAATTTTACATTTCAACCGCACTGATCCAAGCGTTTTTTCAGGTTGATCTAAAATAAGAAACACGGTATACCTTTGGAGATCGATAAGGTTGCTTCCCCTGTCCAACGGTTTGAGAATTCAGTGGCCCGAGACTGAGGAACCTTGATGAACTAAAGAGGTTATTCCTGATCACTTCTGTTTTTAACCATTTCAAAATTATTTCCTATGAATATTAATGCGGGTCTCGGTTGCATCTCTTCTTGACAGCCGGACAGGAATATCAGACATAAATGTTTGCATGTGGGACTTCTCAAATGGATCTCAAATCCAACATGCCTCATATTAATTTCCAAAGCACATAAACACGGGCTTACGTCTTCCGCTTTAAAGAGCAAAAAAAAAA